GAGACACCCATTCTCCTGAGGCAAGTAAGGGGTTTTGAGATACATTTCCACTGCTAATTAGTTTAAAAATATTGGTGTAAAAAATTATTATTATTATTATCATTATATATATTATTATTATTATTATTATTATTATTGTTGTTATTATTGTTATTGATATTATTATTGTCATTATTATTGTTATTATTATCATTATTATTATTATCTTTATCATTATTATTATTATCATTATTATCGTTATCACTATTATTATAATTGTAGTTATTAGTATTATCATTATCATTTTTATTATTATTAATATTGTTGTGGTTGTTTCTGTAATTACTACCATTGTCATAATAGTAGTAGCAACAGTAGTAGTAGCAGAAGTAGTAGTATGAAGTGGTAATAATGGTAGTAGCATAGTAGTAATAACAGTGCTTATGATCATGAAATCATTATCATTCTATCAATCATCATTATTCTGCATTGTCATTATAACAGCCATTTCACTTCCTACTCGAAAAAAATTGCTTGATTACATCCTTTTCATGAAATTATATATTTCATCGCATAAGCAGTTATGTTGCAGAATAATTAGCAGGGAAAGGTACAGACATGCAAGAAATAGAGACATTGAGAAAGTGAGAATACATTTTTTTTAACAAATAACTGACATGTTCCGATTTATGATTAGAATAATATAAATTTTTAAAGCAGTAATGTTGCTGTAAGTCATGACACTCTTCGTGACTAATTTAAGAAAAAAAAATACATTTGCAAGCATACAGTATAAATCATTTCACATATTGAAACAAGTAACGATCATCCGGAGTTCACCACAAGAGGAAAAAAATTAAACAACCACATGCAAGAATAAACCTCTTTTTTAACTCCAATAAACTTTTTTTTTTTTAACTCCGTGACCCTCAACTGCAATTTGAATTCGCGAGCCGCCGGAGTTCACCACAAGAGGAAAAAAAATTAAACAACCACATGCAAGAACAAACTTTTTATTTTTATTTTTTTTATTCTTTTTATTTTATTTTATTATTATTATTATTATTTTTTAACTCCGTGACCCTCAACTGCAATTTGAATTCGCGATCCACCCCCCCCCCCCCTGCCGTTCTTGTAAGACCGCATGCGTGAATCCGCCTGAGGGTCGAGACAGCTGATTCTGGCATCACCATCTCCGAGGCCGACTGTCACGTTGTCACAACACACTCTCTGTAGTTAATTTTTTTTCAACACAGACCACAATGTTCCGCCGAAAGCTGATGGCCCTCGAGTACATGAACCCCGAGACTTTTAATATTAATGGTGAGGGACGTTTGAAGGAGTCTGTGGTGTCTGTTATTGGTAGAAGAAGTAGCGTTTGGTCTTTGGGGTTTGGGGGACGTCGGCTGTTTTGGGTAGTTGGGCTGACGGGTTTATTTTCTCTGTTTGTTATTTTCTAAGTAGCCTGGTGTCTTGATTTGCTGTGAGTTTTCGTTCAGATGATCCCCTTGAGAAATTGATGAGAATGCGAGATGATGAGTAGCTATTAGGTTGATTTTTGTGAGTATATTTAGTGTTTATTTAAGCCACGGCGGAAGGAATTATCTCCCCGAAGTACTTCGTGTTCTTCTCTCTTCATTTGATGTCTTTTCATTGCACTTGCCTTTTATTTTACACCCTCAGGAGTGTTAAAATTGACAGCAGTATATTTAAGTCAAAGTGCCATAATCCTTCTACTAAATATTGTTACTGACTGATTGCATATGTCTGTCTACTGTAGTGTTAGCTTCGTTGTCATAACTACAAATGAGGTATGCTGAGGTTATTATTCAGAGTGGGGTATCCCTCCAATACAGGCAGTAAATCTCCGCCACATATGTTCGGACAAGACAGAGTTTGGACTAGTTCCTGGGTAGAGAATAAAGCTCCAGTCATAATGGAGTTTTGTTAACTTTTGCCCATACTCTGGCAAAGGTTAACAGTAACCCCCCCCCTCCAGATTACAAAGTGAAAAGATAAAAAGTACGTCTGCCACAGGCAGATCTATTTGATCCGGATTGCCATTTTAATGATGTTCTGAAAGTGTAACCCAGAATTTAACCTCCTACTCGCCAGCATACGATTTGTGTGCTCATATAAAATATTTATATACTTTATTATATTTTCCCAATTTGTGTGTATGTGTGTGAGGGCGTTTACATGTGTGGTGTGTGC